AATCAATCAATCAATCAATCAATCAATCAATCAATCAATCAATCAATCAATTAATCAATCAACCAACCAACCAACTAATCAACAAAACAACCAGCCAACCAACAACCTACCTTTTTGCATTGGAAAATCCCAGGGCAGTATTCTAATATAGTCGATCGGGAATTTCCCAGAATCGCCATCATCAAAATCAATGTTAACAAACTGATCACTATTATTATTATTATTATTATGGCCGTGGTTATTATTATTATTGTTATTATTGTTGTTGTGATAATGATTATTATTATTATTATTATTATTATTATTGCTACTGCATTTGTGGCTCAAGTGTTTTGTATTTATTTTGATATTATTATTATTATTATTATTATTATTATCGTTATTATCATTATTATTGTTATCATTATTATAGTTACTATCATCATTATTATTATTATTATTATTCCTTTTGGGAGTTATAACGGAGTCACGGCTAATCTTAGCACGGCGGCGTTTACTACGACTACCACCACCACCACCACTACCAGCAGCACCACCATCATCACCATCGTCGTCGTCATCGTCACCATCATCATTACAGCGGTCGTCATCATCATCGTCATCATCGTATTTCTGGACAGTGCCGGGATAGAGACAGCTGAACTTGACACTCCAGTGGGCACAGACGCGGGATCCTTCGGGGATTTCCTCACGGTGGGTTGGCTTCTTGATCCGCACCTGGTTGGATCAGAAAAAAAAAGAAGAGATGAAAATTTCAATTTACGTAGCGCCCCATTCACTAATTTATATAGCGCTATGAAACTATCCACAGACAGACAGCGTAGGTATTGCAAGCGGATACACAAGCTGAACTTATTAGAGGCATCACACACCCGCGTATGTATCATTAATATGCGGGGATCTATATTATCTAGCTCCTACCTAGCAATCAAACCAAATCGATGCGACACCACAAAACAAAAATACTACAGCATCATAATCAACAGCAACAGCAACAACAACGATATCATCATCATCATCATCATCAACAACAACGATATCATCATCATCAACAACATCATCATCATCATCAACATCAACAATACGACACGTCATCATCTATATCATACCACTTTCATTAACAGTTCCTCCAGTGATAGAATATCCGGCTTTCTTGATCTATCCTTTTCTATTGATACCCCGTATCTAAGAGGTGACGACGACGACGAAGATGATGAAGATGATGATGATTATGGTGATGGTCAACTGTAGTTACGATTTCACGATAAACAACAAGAATAAACAAGTAACAAATAGCAGCAGCAGCAACAACAACAACAACATCAACAACAATAACAAAAACATCAACAACAACATCAACAACAATAACAACATCAACAACAACAACAACATACATATCTGGCGGAGAAATATTCTTGATAGTTGCTTCAACCAGTAACTTCTCCTTATGATACAACACCTTCATTCCATCCTTTAATTCATCCTTTGTTAACCTCACGCAGTTCGGATCATTATCATTATTATTATTATTATTATTATTATTATTATTAGTAGTAGTAGTAGTAGTAGTAGTTGTTGTTGTTGTAATTGTTGTTGGTGGTGTTGTGTTAATGTTTATGTGACTGGAGATATCATCATCGACGTCATTCTTGTTTTTATTGTTATTGTTGTTATCATTATTATTTATATCACCAATAGTAGATGATGATGATGATAAGGATGATGGAGATGATAATGATGATAACGATGATGATGATGGGGACGATGACGATGAAGATGTTGTGAGCTCTCTGGGCGTTTTAAATGGGTGTGCAATTGACGTTGCTGCTGATGAGGTCAATGATGATGACGACGATGATGACGATGATGATGACGATGACGATGATGATGATGATGACGATGATGATGATGATGCTATCACGAGCGGATTTAAAAGTAAAGAAGTGAGTGACGATGATGATGGTGGAGTGCACTTCGTCACTGGCGATGATAAGGATGATGACGTAGATGAGGATGACGCAGATGACGACGACAACGACGATGAAAATGATAACATGTTCTCCTTATTTTCGGAAAAATCAGTGGTGATTACACCGCCAGACGATGTAGTTATCATTGCCGCATTAGATGATGGGGAGGAGGAAGATGATGAAGATGATGCAACTGATGACGATGATTTACTGGTTTTATTTTGGTAGTCAGCAGTGGCAGCGGTAGTAGTAGCAGTCTTAGTAGCGTTCGACTTAATGACGGCCTATATGTAATTATATGTAAAAAAATATAATTAACTACTGAGTAAGACCCTAAAAATAAATTTAAAATGTTGAAACTCAACGGTGTGCAAATACATAGGCGAAGGCATTGATGCACACTTACATGTACACACACACACACACACACACACACACACACACACACACACACATATATATATACACACAACCATAACGTAAAATACACACACACACACACACACACACACACACGCATGCTAGCAGCTCGACCGAAAATAGACACAAGTGAATGAACACGACAAATTTTAGAATTAAAAAAAAAGTAATTACGTTGAAGCAAGGAGAGAAGTAATTTAAACAAGCAAACAAACAAACAAACAAACAAAAGAACGAAAGAACAAACAAACAAAAAACGAACGAAAAAACAAACAAACAACAATAATAACAATAATAATAACAACAACAACATAAGTCCACCTCTTTATGTTCCAACATTGAAGACGATGATAACGATCTCTTCCTATCTTTTCCCATATCGCCAGAACAAATATCATTATTATTATTATTATTATCATTACTATAAGTACTATTATCAGTTTCGGCAGTAGTAGTAGTAGTTGTAATAGTAGTGGCGACAGTTGCTGCAGTGGTAGTAGTAGTTGCTGCAGTGGTAGTAGTAGTCGCGCTGCTATCATCTAGGCATGCGTTACTACCATTCTTAACAACCTTCTTCATATTGATCTGCGTTTGGTAAACATGCAAAAACATAAAACAAACAATTGAAATCATTATTATTATTATTATTATTATTTTTGTTACTATTATTAATATTGTTGTTGTTGTTATTATTATTATTATTATTGTTGTTGTTGTTGTCATTATGTTGATGTCGTCATTATTAATGTTATAATTGCCATTGAACGACTTAGCAATTTTTTCATTGGGGCAATTAATAAATAATGTTATCCCATACACGTATACGCACATACATACACACAAACACACACACACAATTATACATGCAAAAGTTTTTCAATCAATTAAGAAGATACAAATACACACAGTGATACCTATCAAATTTTTCGGCGTGTGTATGTATATCTAGGTTTACATTGCTTTTAAAATGGCACACTGATGAAACCAAAACTATGACAAATTCAGAATGTAGGAAAAAATAGGGCAACAATGGAATAAAAATATTCTTGCATTCTAACCAAACAAACAACATAAATACATACACCTAAACACACATACGTACACACAGATACAAACAGACACGCACGCACGCACGTCAACAACAAACACACAAAGGTTTCTTTATTATGCACCATTACTCTATTAGGTACAATTTACATACACTGACAAATTTTGTAGTTAATTAAATTTGCAAAATGTTAAACACCCAAACACACACACACACCACACACACACACCACATACACACACACACACCACATACACACACATACACATTATATCACCAATACGTAGACAGACATCCAACATACATGCCTAAAACATCATTGCACACGATTCAACATACAAACAAGCACACATAAACATACAAAACACACAACACAAAAATCCACACACACACACACACACACACAAACAAACAAACATAGCATACAAAACAAAGACATCTGGTAATTTATGCATAACTTATAAAAATACAACATGGTAAAGAAAAACGCGAAGAAGAAAAATTATACAGTATCAGTAAGTAAGTAAAGTATTGAATTCTTCCTTCACAGCAAACTCAAATCGTTTCAAACAAGACTATAACTCAGGTAGGTTATAAGTTAGATGACCTATTAGGATAGATAGATAGTCAGGTAGATAAGTTGAAATAACTGGAATTATATGCAAGCGTTTGCACTTTTCGATGTAAAAAAGCAACGAATTCCGATATAAAGCAACACAATATAAAATATTTACTAGATCACTATTACTCAAAAAGTCTTTCGCAAGTACTGTGTGCAGTATAAAGAGCACAGTAATGTAAGTATTTTGCGCGTGCTATAACTATTATTACTACTTATAGAGTTTATGTAAGCTCTGGGTTTCAAATTATAAACTCGTTAAGAAGACGAGATGAAAGTATGAGAAAACGTATAAACTCTCTATTTACATTTTCAAACATTCGACTACTAACTCACAAACATACAGACAACAAGCACATCACACTAACTGCTATCTAAATCAGTGTTCCTTAACTCTTTTTACGCCATACCTTCTCAAACTCTAGGACAAACTCTAGCCATACCATCCTTAGAAGTAGCATAAGAGATATAAACAAATAAATTACACCCCATCAGCACCTATAAAAAAGTAACTTGAAAAATGTACTGCGTAAATATCTTTACAATTCTTGCACAACAGCCTCTTTAAAATTTCTCAGAGTTAGCAGCGACAAAAACGCAGTGAATTAAAACATGCACGTGAATGAATGCATGACACACTCGTGAATGAATGCATGACAAATTCGGTCCCAGCTAAGCAGTGTCAGGCAGACACCATAACCATTACAATGTACAATGCATAATTCACTCAGATGCATAACTCAATGTACAATTCATAATTCATACAACATTTCACTTGGAGTACTTAAATGAGAAACAACCATTACTTTACCTTGTGATTGCCAGGTGAGACGGTGTGGTGTATGTAATGTTTGGCATCTAAAGATCAGACTCTTATTAAAATTAATCGAATATGTAACTCACATATCCTAAGATATGTAGATTACGACTCATTGCAATGAAT